TTACTTTTCAGACTTATACATATCAAGAGTTTAATGATTACTTATCATTTCATAAATAATTATTTATTAAATTATTAATAAGATGTGTTAAAAAATTTAATTTTCACTTATTTTTATAATTATTTACTTGTTTTCATTATAAAGTTTACTTGTCAAAAACTTATTTAAACTTATTATTTTATTAAAATTTACTTGCCAAGTTATTGAGAGAAATTGTCAAAAATAGTAACAGGACTTGTTATTTTATAAATAGATACTTGTTAAATTACTGACATGACTTGTTAAGAGAAATTAATTTCCACCCATTTTTATAAATACTTGCTTGTTTTATTACCAAAATTTTACTTGTCAAAAAGCTTTTTTTAACTTGTTATTTTATTAAAATTTACTTGTCAAATTATTAAGAAAAAAATATCAGAATTAATAATGAGACTTATTATTTCACTAATGATTATTGGTTAAATTATTAACAGGACTTGTTCAGAGAATTAACTTTTTCTCATTCTTATAAATGTTTTTTTTCTTACCAAAAGTTTACTTGTCAGAAATTTATGTGAATATTTTATTTTACTAAAATTTATTATAAGGAAAATTATTAAAGTTAGTAACAAAATTTGTCATTTCACAAATGTTATTTGTTAAGTTACTAAAGAGAATTTGTTAAAAAATTTAGAATTAAGGGATATTTTTATCTTTTAATTTTATTTAAAATGTTACTAAAGACCCTAAACTCAATTTAAAATTAATTCTATCTCTCAACATATCAAATGTGGGTCATACTTTTTTTATATTTTTATAATAAAATATAAAATGTGGGGCCCACATCTTCTTTGTGTAAACTCCGGCAACTTTGTATCATCAAAAACAACTCACAAACTAGGATAGCATCATTACACAAACTCACAGGTAATCTTAAGGGCGTCCTGCTTTCTATCTCTTAGTCTAACTTTGTGAAGGTCTAGGACCTACATTTAATGTTTTATTATAAAAATATAAAAAAATTGGACCCACATGTTAAAGTTAACAAAAGTCAAGAAAGATATTAATAGGGATGCAGAGTTAAAAAGTTTGATACGTTAAAGGACATAATTGATTTTAAATTGAATTCAGAGTTTCAATGATTTTTTTAGATAAAATTAAAAGATAAAAATAATCCTTAATTCAAAATAATATACATTACTTTTCATAAATGTTTACTTGTATTTTTTATTAAAAATTACTTGTCAAAAGTTTATCTAAATTTGTTATTTCACTAAAATTTATTCACCAACTTATTTTAGAAACCATTATAAAATAGGTAAAATTTAAATTTTTGACAAGTCTCTATTAGTACTTTAACGAGTAATAATTTGTTAAATGACAAGTTTTGTTACTATCTTTAATAATTTCTTTTAATAATTTGATAAGTAAATTTAGGTGAAAAAAGCAAGTTCATATAAGTTTTTTGTAAGTAAAGTTTTGATATAAAAAAACAAAATAACTATCTATAAAAATCAATGCTCATTAAATTTTTTAACAAGTAATCATTTTTGAACTAACAAATAACTATTAAATTCTCAACAAGTATTGACTTGAGAAGTAAAGACAAAGTTAAGTATTATATGATTAAGAATAAACTCTTTTAATGGTTAAGGAGTTTTGAGTTTAAATTTTCTTGACCGCCTTAAAAAAAGGTTGATTTATTAACTTTACCATCCAAAGTTTTGACGTCAGCCATTGAACCACTTTCTGTTGGTTGGCGTCGGAGCTCAATTTGAGTGAATTTTAAAAAATATATATGATATTTTTGTTTTTTCATCATAAATTTTAATTATATTTTGGTGCTTTAGTTTTGCATGACAAATCTTAAAATTCTTTGATTTTCTTTTTTACTTTTTTTGTGATAGATATGCTTCCCATGTCCTTGGATATGATTTTGTATGTATATATGAACCGAAAATTAAAAGGTTGTATAATTTATTATCTTTAAAACTTACAACTATCATCATTTTTATGATGCTTATGAACGGGTTTCAAAAAATTTTGGCAAAATTACTGGGTTTTAAAAAATATTATTTTGAAAGCACTTTGTATTTATATTGTCCGGTATAATTTAGTAAAAATTTTCAGTTTTAAAGAATAGTTACCATTTAAGATTTTTTAATATAAACTTCTTAAAATTCGAGTCTCCAAATATAATTTTAAAGAAATTTTTTAATTTTTAATTCTTTATAATAAAAAATAAAATAAATCATATGAGTACATAAATTAATTTTTTAAAGAACATTTATTATTTTAGTGAGGTACTTCTTATAAAAAACTTTTATTAATATTATTAATTGACATTTTAAAATTTATTTATTTTAATTTAATCAGATAAAAATATGTTTTCATTTTTTCTCACTATGTAAAACACTTTTAAATAAAATTATATATACTAATAAAATTCAATAAATATATTTTATAATTTTATTTTTAAAATAAAATAAAATTTTTAAAAAATATTCATAATTTAATATTTATTTATTAAACAAATTAAAGAAAAAGAATATAATAAAAAAATATAATATTAAAAAGAATTATTAATATAATTTATTTTTTATTAAGATATTTTATATTTTAAAATGTTGAATATATCTTTTTTTATAATTTGGGAGAGAGAGAAGAGCGTATTTAAAACAAAATAGTGTTACTATTGTCAGTGTTTATTATTTCATTAGTACTTTTCAATTATGAATTCCTCGTATTTCTTGCCAAACGAATCGGGAGAGAAGAAACTTGAAGGACCTCCTGGAGTTGAAACATTAAAAAATAAAAAACGGGGCACTATTCTTGCATTTTGTTTCTGGCCTCGTGCATTCAAATCTCGTTTCTCCCTCTTCTTCCAAACCCTAGATTACACTTACATGATTGGTTCGTGCTGGTGATTTCCATGTAAAATTTACGAATTGTGATCGTTTTCTTCGGCAATGGTGGGAAAAATAGACGCCACTTCGCGGGAAAAGCTTGTGAGTCTCGTGAACTCGGTTAAGTTGGCCATGGACATTCCATCCAAGCTCGATTACTTGCGGCAACTGAAGGTAGAATTGCCTCAAGAAGACCCCGTTTTGCTCACCGAGTTTCTTCCGTGTCTCTTCGAGTTTCAGTCCGATCGTTTCAGTCCAGTTCGCAAATTTGTCACGGAGTAAGCTTCCATACACCCAATGTGCGCGGTTTTTTTGCTTCTCTCTTTCTGAATACACCAATGTGTATGCTTTTCTTTTCTTTTTTCCTTTCTTGAATGTTTGGCATGAGAAAGGAAGGCTGCCTGGATAAATAAGGTAGAAGTTGTTCATGGAGGGGCGACTATTCTGGTTTGTTTTGTTTTGTTTTTTTTTATAAAACGAAAGTTCAGGTGAGTTGGGCTTCGGGTTCACTATGGTCAGGCATGCTTTCAGGCTCAAAGACCAGCACTTACAGTGGGGCGGGGCTACTATTCTTGTTTATACATATTCTCAAATTTTAGTCTTTTCATCGGAGAAGATAGTCCTCATGGACTTTCATCGTTTCCTTTGCCCATTCCTTTGGTGAAGGAATCTTATTATGTGTACAGATAGTGATCGGAGAGCTTTATGGCACTCTTGAGCTTGGCTGTTGTTCTGTTATTGTCCTTTTCATTGCCCATTTCAAGGAGGATTTCTTTCCATCCATTGTACTTTAATATTGTCCTCTTTCATGATCCTATTAAAAAAAAAAGTTTGGTTTCCTTATGTTGTACGCATTTTGTAGTTTTTGCTCCAATCTCCCTCTCTTCTATTTCTTGTCCGCCCGTACATTGGTTGATGGATACCAACATCTGTGTGTGGCTTTTCATTTTTTGTTTTCTATTTTAACTTTCCGGTCTCTTTGGCGCTAAGATGGCCACAGAACTCAATTCAACATTTACTGGTGGACTCTTGACTCTGTGTGTGTGCCTTTTGACTTAGAGTCTTAGATTCAAAGATGCCCCTCTTTTCTTGAACTGCAGGATGCTTGGTGAAATTGGATCTAAAAACACAGAGTTCTTGCCTGATATTATACCGGTGCTCATTGCTGTTTTGGATGATGATACACCCGCTGTTGTTCGTCAAGCTATATCATGCGGAATTGATTTATTTCATTCCACTCTTGAGAAAATTGCAATACAGGTGTTATAGTTTTAATACTGAATCTACTAATTCCTATCTTTAATTCATTTCATTTTTGTTTTTTCCCCCTTATTGTATTCCTTGATTTGATGACATAAGTCCCTGGCATGCTTATATTCTTATCTAATAGAATTAAACTCATATTTGGTTGGTAAAATTACTATATTTTGTTCTATGATGTGTGCGTGCAAATGCCTGTAATATTACATGATTTTGTTAGACATTGTTACAGCTGGAAGATAGTTGCTCGATTCAAGGTTCAAAATCTTTATACTTAAATATCTAGCCATATATGTTATCCAATTTCTATCAACAGTCAACATTCTAGCTTAAGTAGTGAACAGGGCACATAAAAGCCTTAATAAAATTTTGAATGGTGTTTTACCAAAGAAAAAAATTGACTAATGACTGGTGAGAACAAATTGTAGTTATAAATAAGGAAATGTGAGGAGGGGGGAGGGGAAGGGGGTGGTAATAGCAATATATACTATTGGGGTCTTGATTTATTTATCCTTAAAGCCATTAAATACAACTTAATTTTTGCATTTTTATTTGTCTTACTGAATTTGTCTTTCTATGGTCTTACCTCTTTCTCATCTTTGAACTTATTCTATTTCTAGATTACTTTTTAACTTATGATCATAATGTTCTAGGGTTTATACTCAAGTGATCTGGACATTGCACTTGAATCTGCATGGACATGGATGTTAAAGTTCAAAGACAAAGTACACTCACTTGCTTTTCAAGTAAGTAACAATACTTTTAACCTCAAGCGGTCACTTTTTGGTTTATGGTCTGATACCTGTGATCTGTAAAATCTTTAAAAGCATGGTAGTGGTGGTGCAAAGTTGCTGGCCTGAAGTTTGTTGGAGCAGTTATTCTTCTATACACACCAGATCCAAATGGTTCCTCAGAGCCCCCTCCTCATCAAGGTATTACATTGGGGTTTGCTCATCCTCATAAGACTTGAATAAGAAGGCTGGACCAATTTGATTATTAAAAGTTTCATGTCAGCTCTCAAATAGATTGCACTACTGTTATTTACAGGAAGGCTTGTGGAGTTTAACATATCATGGATTCGCAAGGGTCATCCTGTACTCAACTTTAAAGATTTGTCAATTGATGCTAGTCATAGTTTAGGTCTCCTGCTTGATCAACTCAGGTTTCCAACTGTGAATTCTCTCAGTAACTCGGTGATTGTTGTGCTAATTAACAGGTATTTAAGCTTTTCCTGTTTGACCTTTGTTTTGCTTTGCAATTATATAAGCATGCCTCTCCCTAAAAGGAGGAAAAAAAGCATGTGTATGTGTTGCTAGAACATCTAGTACTCTCCTTATAGTGAGCAATCTTAGTTAGTGACTTTTGTTTGAAAGCAACAGGTGCCTCTGCCTTCACAGATGCTCTTGAGATTGTAGACATTACTACATCCTGCCTCTTCATTTTACAATATTCAACAGTTAACTTAATTCAAGACTCATTCTTTGACAGCTATTTTCATTGTCTTTACTAGAAAGTTATTCATTTCTGTCGACACTGTTTGTGTGAAAATCTGTTTTTCTTAATGTTGCTTGATTGTTCACTTTTTTCCACTTTCCTTTGGTCTATTCCCAGCCTTTTAGCGATTGCAAAGACAGGCCTGCCTTCTATGGCCGCATCTTGCCAGTTTTGCTTGGTTTGAAACCGTCAAGCTCTGTTGTTAATGGGATCCGTGTAACAGCAGTACATCATGCGTTGAAAAAGGCCTTTCTCACTTGCTTGAAATGTACACATCCAAGTGCTGCTCCGGTATTTAATTTATACTAACATGTCTCAATATCCTGATTGTGTGATCTTATCATGTATTTGCTTGTTGTAGATTAACCTTTAGTTCTCATCTGCTTAATGGAATGTGTAATCTAAGTTTTTTTTTTTTTGACTTTTTGTTGAGTGATATGTGTAATCATATTTCATATATTGTGGGATAAGGCTTGTTGTCGTTGAATGATATGTCAAATCCACAAATACATACAACTTTGTACCATTGAACTTTCGCATTGTATTCTATGTCATCTACACCATAAGTTTATAGATTGGATGTGGGGAAAAAACAGAGCATACAAAAAATGCTTTGTTCTGGATCTGTCTGATACAACATTTTACAGAAGATGGTTTAATGCTACATGAAGAAATTTATTATTCTCAGTTAAGGCTGAAGCTCTCTCGAAGTGGTGGAGGTACATGGAAGATGTGTAATAATAAAATAATTTGCTCACCTGGTTGTAAGCAGCAATGCATAATTGGATATTTGGATGAATCACGATGCTTAATTAGTATGGTGTGCTATAGAACCTGCTTCTTTAGTCCATGACTTCTTTTCATGTAGGTTAGTAAGCCATCCTTGACCAAGACTGATTTGCCATTTGCATGCCTTTGTCTCTTGTCTCTGTGATCGTGTAACAGGAATAAGCTTCAGACTGAGGTTGGAATTAAACTTGTAGAGGGATAATGCACAAGTCCAATTTTAAGACAAGTTTCGAGTTGTATAATTAATTTTCCTTGTCTCGAGTTTGATAGTCTATAAAAACATAGGGGATAAAATCAATACAAATTCCTGAATTAGTTGGCGCCTGTGTATATTTCTTGTTTGTGCCTTCTGATCAACTGCACATTTCATATATTTACTTTATTATAGCTTTATGGAAAACTGATTTTTGTTTTGGCAGTGGAGAGAACGTTTAGCTGGTGCCCTGGAGGAAATGCAGTCTGAAGGGATGGCTGATCAGGTGTTCCACCAAGTCTCTGAGATTAATGGAAGTATAAAGAAAGAGAAAGATGACGATCTAGATATTAAGGTATCTGGTGTTGAGTGTGTGATGATTGTTGAGTTTTTGCATGATGATTTATTCTGATCAAATTCCATGTAATGATTCTCCTTAATACTACAAAGGCCCATTGCTTCTTGGTAAATATGATCATTTTACAATTTACAGGAAGAAAAACCAGCATCACTTTCATTTGATTCATTGCACACTAATTTAGGGAGGAAACGATTAGGATCACAGGATGGAGGTGATTTAGCTGAAGATGAAGATGTTCCTGAAAACGGTCCAAAACGACAACCATTGTCTCAGAACCCAAGAAAGAGTTAGATGAAGCACAAGAGTGTGTTGGGACAACAATGCTTCAACTGTACCACGTTCATCAAGAAGAGAGTGGATAATGGACCTGTTCAGCAACTTGTTGCAATGTTTGGTGCTTTAGTTGCTCAGGGTGAAGAAGCCGTTGCACCTTTGGAGATTCTTATTTCCAGTATCTCCTCAGACTTGCTAGCTGAGGTGGTAATGGCTAATATGTGTAACCTACCTCCAAATAATCCAAGTGCTGAAGGAGATGATGAACCACTGCATGACATTAGTATAACTGGTTCTGATGGCAAGGCTAAATATCCATCATCATTTGTAGATTGCGTAATGTCGCTTTCTAGTACATTCCCATCAATAACTGTACTTCTTGACGCTAATCAATCAATATCCAATGAGGTGGTAGTACAATTCTTTTATATTTGGTATTTCATTTTGGCTTTTATGTCTTTTATGGGCTCTCAAGTGGGGTGGGAATCCTCCTCCAAATGCTAGCTATTGAGGTAGAAAAATCAATCCACTGAAATACCCTATAGAGCTTCTTTATAATACTCTATGGAAGGACTTAAGCATTCTATACTTCATTGGTTTCCATCAATTGGCCAGCACCGGAGAGCTGATGTCCTGGTAGCTATAATTTGCAGCACTTAACTCAGCTTCCTTGCTAGTCAATACCCTCCACCTGTAGCCTTTTCCAGAGTCAGTAACCACCAACTTCGATACTAGTTGAGGGGAACCATAATGGGATGGAATCCCTTCTTCAAAATCTAGCTATTGAGGTGGAAGATCTAACCCACTTAAGTCCTGATATAATAGAGCATCCCATACTATTGATTGTTGACTTAAGAATCCCATACTGCTTTAGTTTCCGTCATCTTTTCTTTTATCTTTTAATTCACTTCCATTACCTTGCATATGTGATGACTTTACTTTTCTCCTCCACTCCAACCCCTCTCTTTCTGAGAAGAAACATTTGGACTAAGATTTTAATACAAAAATGTTTCAGAAATCTCAAGGGGGAAGAAGAAATTTCTGCAACTGGAGTGGATAATAATGCGTGCATTCTGGATTGAATCCTTCATCTGAAAATGTGATGCTGCCCTCTGATTTTCCATCTTCTGATGCCAAAATACCTGGAATGGAGAGTGTGAACACAGGTGTCCCTTCTGACATCCATGATGTGGGCAATTTAGAGAGTGGAATACCTGGCCTGGATTCTTTTGGTCGTAATGTTGCCTTGTCAGAAACTGTAGCTGGTTCCTCATTGGCTTCCTCTGATATAGAAGAAGCCAGTCAAGAACAAGTTATGGGTTTTGGTCAAAAATCACCCCTGAACATTGTTACATCAATATCAACAGATAGGTCCGAGGAGATAAGCCCAAAAGCAGCTGTACGGATGTAAATAGTGTGGTGTCATCAGCAGCACCTTCTGACAGGTCATCTCGGTTGTTCTGCCAAAGATGATTGCACCTGTTGTTGACCTTGCAGATGAACAGAAGGATAATTTGCAAAAATGGGCTTTTATTCGTATTATTGATGCTTACAAGCAAATATCAATAGCTGGAGGATCAAAAGTTCGATTTTCAATACTTGCTTATCTAGGAGTTGAGGTGATATTGTTTTCTTTTCAGTTTCTTTACAGACAAACATGGGATTGGTTTCTTGTAAATTTATGATTTGTTGGCTTTTTATAAGCATAAATAATTTGATTCAATTCTTGTAATCTGTTTCCTGCATTGGTTTAATACTCAATACTATTAAATCCTGTCATAGTTGGAGCTGCAAGAGCATGCTTTTTTCACTTTTCTTTTTTACATACATGGTTAATTATGATTAATAATTTTATTACATTTTTTTAGCCTGTTGACTCTCAGTCTTAGTTTCTCTAATGGAATCTAAGGCTGTCTTATCAGTTATCATCCCCTTTAATTTTATTCTTTTTTTCCCCCCTCTCTGATAAGATTTCTTATATTATTGAAAAAATAGATATGATCCATATTTGCCTCAAAAGTTTACTGTCTAGCGTCTGCCAATAGGTGTGTCTTGTGGGTTATGGAAAAAGATAACTTTTAATGCACCCCAAGTAAAGGGTATTAGTGGTTTGTCTGATCACAGAACTAGAATAAATGTATTTTGTGGGGGGTCAGCCTTGAACCAATTTTTCTTTTAGGTCTTTCTGTAATATTTTTAATTGGTCCAATCTCTTTTTCCTTAGCTTGTTCTCCCTGTTTCTTGATAGTATCTACCATGATTGATTCTTGAAAACTCTAGTTGGAAGTTTTTTTTACATGTTTTAAGTTCTTAATTTCAATGCTGTTGAGGTGTACATAGCATTTATGTTACTTATTCTTGCTTATGTTCAAATTCAATCTTTCTTCTTTCTATCATAAAATACTTTAATCACAATATAGCTTAGAAGTTCCTGAGATCCTAAATTACTATATAATTTTAGTTTTAATTTTAATTTTAATATTA